ACATAAACTGGAATTCGAGTATAGCCTTTATGAATAATTTCAGTTAGCGTTGCTGCATCGAGTATGTCGTTTTCAGAGAGCATGAATACGTCCTGGAATAGGTAAGTTTGGATTGATGAGAATATTATCATCATTTCATCTTCATCTATGCTCCATTCCTCACGTCAATTCTCGTCATCACATCCTTTGCCACCTTGCTGGCAAATTCCATTGCTCCAACAGCTATCTTTACTTCTTGTGCCATGTCCTATAAAATTATAGATTTTTCTAAGGTAAATTGAAATTATTTGTTTAGAATTGAAGAATTTACCTTGTTTTGGCCAGCTTCAGCTGACATTTTCAGCAGTTCAATCAGACGACCTCTATCAAATTGGCCCACTTCGTTTCCGATCAAGTAATCCAGTACCTATCATCAAACTTCATTCAGAATTCAAAGGAGCTCGAGGACCAATATACTGGTTGAATTTCCTTGGAAGTTTACCTTGCTTATCGGATAGGAAATAGGTGCGGTAATGAACATGAAGAATTTCGTGATCAAGATTGTGCGAGCTCCAACTTCAAGCCCATGTCTTAAGTTAAAATATAGTTCCAAAACCTTATAGGATTTTGTAGCACCGAAGATAAAGTTCACATACTTTACACAGACACTCTGAGGAGTAATCTCTCCGAAAAGTAAAATTCCAAAAGATGCCGCCACAAAAGCGATTGTACCAGAGGTTAGATCCTCGAATAATATGGATATGGCTGCATTTACAACCTAAATCCTTCAAAAATACCAAATTGGCCCAGAGTAAAGGGATTATTGACACAATTACCACATTCACTATTAATATCGTACAAAGTAGATAGTTGCCTTTCATTCGTATGGGAAGAATTGCTTTTGCATTTCTCGCATCTTCTTTTGAGCCTCAACTCATAAATTTAGAGGTGACACTGGGAAAAGAGGAGAAAAAACAAAACTTTTACCACTTTTAATCACAAGATTGAGCTCTTGAACTGATAAGGTCATAAGCCCAAGATTAAGGCCCGAAAATAAGGCAGACATGGTAAAAAGAACTCCTAGCACTCCGACCTTGAACAAAGTGCAGTACGAATTATGAACTATTGAGGAAATACTATTTTTACCTGTACATAAAATGGCAGATAGTGTTCTCTAAGAGTTTCTTCTGTATTGATCCAAGTGCGATCATCGTCAATCTGGAGATATTACACTTCAAAATGTTGATGAAATTTTTTTCTGAAGTGCACCTAACCAGAAGAAGCTCGCCCAGTCGACCTTGTTGTTTT